TTAAATTGGGTTATTTGTCTTTTTATTGTTGAGGCATAAGGATTCTTTGTATGTTTGGGTACATTTCCCTTATCAGATATAATTTGCAAATAATTTTACCCATTCTGTAGGTTATCTTTTCACTTTCTGATGTTGTCCTTTGAAGCACCAAAGTTTCAAATTGTGATGAAGTCCAGTTTATCTGGTTTTTCTTTTGTCACTTGTGCTTTTGGTCATTTAAAGAAACCAAGGGCTAACCCAAGGTCATGAAGATTTATTCCTATGTTTACTTCTAAAAGTTCTGTAGTTTTTAACTCTTACATCTAGGTCTATGATCCACTTGGAGTTAATTTTTGTATATGGTTTAAGGAAGAGGTTCAACTTCATTATTTTGCATGTGAATATCCAGTTGTCACAGCACCATGTGTGGAAAAGACTATTCTTTCCCTATTAGGTTGTTTTGATACCCTTGTTGAAAATCAATTGACCATAAATGTGAGGGTTTACTTCTGTTTGTATGCCAATATTTTACAGTAACTGTAGTTTATTCTTCTTTCAAGCTTGTTTTGGCTATTCTGGGTTCCTTGCATTTCTGTATGACATTTAGAATATGTGTTTGTATCTTCTTAACTTGGAGTGAATGCTACAGGAGACTGCCAGGAGTGAAATGAAGACTAAAATCATCTAGAAGCCTCTATATGTTTAAGGGAAAAGATTAAGGAACCAGGCAGGTCATTTATTGGCACTAGGTAAATTTGGAAATTTCCCAAAGAGTTGTTACTTCTTGGGACAGGGAGGACTCCCTACTGGCATACAGGCTCAGTTTCCAAGTGAGATATACAGAGATGACAAAACTGATGTTTCAAGGTTAAGATTAGATTATTCAAAAGATTAGATCCAGGAGTTTGGAATTCCAAGAAAACCAAGGTTCCAGGAGCAGTGCGAGCAGGGCCAGGTCTTCAGACAGCTCTGTATAAGCCAGGGCCTGAAGGGGAGATGAAGGTTACATATTGCTTCCACACTGATCTAAAGCAATGGAGAGTAGCTTAGTTTCTTGCTGCTGTTCAATCCTTCAAGATTTAAAAGACCAATGTCTTTTGCTTTAGATGAGGGCTCCCATGGAACTGAGCTATCAAAGATAATTCAATGGCTTAGGGCCAAATTTCTCTTGGTTGTATAGATAGATTGGTGTGCTCTCAAGTGGGATATATGGCCAAGTGATTGAATACATGGGCTTCACTGTAAGACACTTGAATTCAGATTTGAGTTTTGTTATTTCTAGCTGAGTAAACATGGTCAAGTTTCTTAACCTTGAAACATCAGTTTTGTCGTCTCTATATATCTCATACTGTTGGTGGGAGATTAAAATAGAATAATGCATGTATAATATTTGGCACAGTGCCTAACTTACTAACTGGAAGATATTATTTGTTTTATATTTATTTTTTAGTTTTTGAGTGTTATTTTTTATTGAAGTATTGTTGATATACAATCTTCTACTGGTTTCAAATATACAACACAGTGGTTCATCAGTTACCTGTATTATTAAATCCTCACCCCCACTAGTGCAGTTACTATCAACATAGAAAGATGTTACAGAATCATTGACTATATTCTCCATGCTATACTACTATGTCCCTGGCCAACTTATATTATGACTGAGAATCTTTGTGCACCTTTATCCCCCTCAACCTCCCCACCCACTCCTGCAAACCCTCCCCGCATGGTAACCACTAGTCACTTCTCAGTGTCTATGAATCTAATGCCTTTTTGTTCATGCTGTTTTGCTTTGTATTTATTTTCCACAAATAAGTGGTATTTGTCTTTCCCCATCTGAAGCATAATACCCTTCACTGAGCATAATACTCTTGATATCCATCCATGTTGTTGCAATTGTCGGGATTTCTTTTTTTATAGCTTTTTTCTGTTGTGATATTGTTAGTTGGGAATAGGCATAGATGTCAATGCAAGAAACTAAATTGTTTGAACTAAAAAAGTGAAGGGGAGAAAGGGAGGAGGAGAAAGTCAGCTTGTCAGTAGGATCTGAGTGGAAAGGGACTTTACAATCAGAGAGAAAAAAGAAGAGGAAGATTTGGACCGATGCTGAAGAAGTAGAAGTGTGGGGTCAAAAGAGATGTTAAAAGGGATTTTGATACGAAGTTTTGCTTTGTGACATGTGGGGATTTCCTCTCCTTCCATATCCCCAAGGAATCTTCAGTAAAGTTCTGTACTACTCTGTTGTTTTGAAGTAGATTTGTGCTTTAGGAAAATGGTGTTTGAATGTGTAGAGATGTGCAGCGATATAGGACAAAAGGCAAGAGTAGAGTAGCTCACTAGGGCCTTGACTTTCTGGGTTATTCATTTCTGGTTTGGTCTTTTCCTACTTCTTCCTGCCATCTATAGAGTTTGGAGGGGAGTTTGGTGGTGGACGCTCTGGGTGGCGAGGCACTAGCTGGTAATAACAGCTCCTGGGTAGCCCATTCTCCATACAGGACTGTGTTTCTGGGTCTCTTTTCCAAGCTTTAATCAGAGTAGAACATCAGGAGAAGGATGAAACACTTGATTCATGCTGAAACTCCACGAGCCCACTGCTGGGGCAATTGTTGCTGCTCTTCTCTCTGGGTCACTGTTCTCTTGGCAATAATCTATGAATTAATTCCCATTTCAACCATATCCAGTAGGCTCTCTTCTCATTAACATTGTATAGATGAGTAAATTGAGGTTCACAAAAGAGAAATAAATTACTTGAGCTTATTATTTTAGAAGTGGTATGGTTAGGATTTGACCTAAGTTCTATCTGATCATGAAGTTCTCACATAAATGAAAGCTCCCTTTTTCATTTTTATTTTGTATTTCCTAAACATTATTTTACAACTATTGGAGTAGGTCAATACTTGCACATGGTATAAAATACAAAAAAAATGTACAAAAGGGTATGAAGGGAAATAAGTCTCTTCTTTTCCTATATTCAGGTTCTCTGGTTTCCTTCTTGATATAATAAGCACTCTTACCAGTTTACAATATATCCTTTAGGAGATATCTTATAGATAAAAACAAGTAAACTAACACATATGTATCCCCCACTATTTTCACGCAAATAGTAGCACTCTATAGTGTTCTGTAGCTTACTTAGTACTCTGTTTTGTGGAAATAAAGGAATTTTTAAAGTCCTTCTAAAATTAACAGGAATTTCCCAGTCTTCAAATATCACAAATATTACTGCAGTGAATATTCTGCTTCTTGGGAAAATTACATGAATGATAAATTCTTAGTAGTGGAAGTGCTTGTCAAATTGTACATATATTTTAAATTTTGATAGATATTGCCACATTTCCTTCCATAGAGGTTACACCAATTTATGCTACTACCAAAAAACATATGCTTTTCCACATCCTGCCAACATATGACAAGTAAAAATGTTTCTTTACAATTTTTACTTTCAATATATATTGTTTTGTGAGTATATTTTTAAACATTTTTAAACCATTTGTAATTAGTTTTATTCAAATTTTAATTTTGTTTCCTTTGCACTGTATCTGTTGGTTTGGGGTTTTGTTCATACTGACTATAGGAGTTCATTTTATTTTTCAGTAATTAGTTCTTTGTTCTATGAACTATGCAAAATTTCCTTTCAGTTTGTCACTTGTCTTGTGACTTTGTTTCTTTTTCGAGGCAGATTTTTCTTATTTGAGTTCATATTTTCTTATTTTTCTCATTAACATTTTAAAGTTTTCTTTCTATAGAGATTGCAAATTGTTTAGTTTATTGATAAGTATTTTATCATTTATATTAATGGAAATTTGTCTCAATTATATTTTTTAAATAGTTATTTTAGATAGGGTGGCAAATGTTTTTTAAACAGTAAATTTGTATCTAATGACTGAATAATTCTAGTTTTGCAATGATGCTACAGTTACTTTTCCTGTGTTTTCTAGATAAAATTATTTAATCTACAAATTTGCTCCTTTTAAATTTATCTCTTATTACCCTTTTCTAATATTACTTGAATAATATTAGTAGTGGTGGGTAGCCAGGTCTTATTCCTGATACTAATGGGAATGCTTTTAGTCTTTCATCAATAACCATGATTTGGGAAATATGTTTTCTCTGGCTAAAGAGGTATTCTTCTATTCCTATTTTACTAAAGGTTAAAAACTCAAAAGTTCACATTGAATATTATCAAAAACATTTCTTTACAAATGGATTATCATGTGGCTTTCCCTTAAGTTCTGCTTATATGGCGAATTTTATTAAACTGTTTTCTGGTGTTAGACCATTCTTGTGTTTCTCATTATCTTCATTTGGTGGTGGTGTAGTATTTTTAATGTGATGCTAGGCTTAATGTGTTAATAGACTTTTGCTCTGCTATATGTAAGATTGGTGGCTGTTCCTGTTTTGTACTATTTTGGTCAGGTTTGGCACATTTTCTTCCTCTATATGCTCTGAAAAACTATTCAAATGTAAAACCCAAGCCCTTAATCACACAGAAAATTGACTACATCCCCAGTATGCACATGAATGTCTTGATAAATGCTAAGTGCTCTACAAATGGTAACTGTCAGGAGAACGAATATCCCAAACATCCTGTACGTGAGGTCCTAGCATGTGAGAGAATTTGGGTTAAAGAAGATTGACGCTTGGCTTGATCACCTGAGTTGCAGACATGTTTTTCATCTCTTCCACTTTTTTTAATCCATCATGAAAAATCAGATTTCAGTTCACACAAGATTCTCATTAATGGAAAACACTGCTCCCTTAATACATTCTATATGAGAGTGGGAGGAGCCTTGGAAACCCCAGGTTAGCCTCCCCCATCCTAGGAGGGCACACAGACACAGGGCCACAGAGGTGACAGAATGGTCTGAAGGTACACTGTATGGCAGTGACAGATTTCAATCCAGACCATGGAACTCCGACCTTGTGTTTTTTCCATGACTCTTGACTGCCTATCCTCCTACAACAGAACCGAGAAGCCTCTCACAGGCCCCACTGAGGTATCATGCTGCCCCTCCTACACACATCTAACCTTGGGGATGGCTGGTTATTGCCTGAATTTTGTATCCTGGATCAAGGAGGGTGATGTATCTTTGTATCCCATGCAACACATCCTCTGTATAGGGCAGCTTCATCTTGTCCTTCCTTCAGGGGCTCTGGTTGCATCCAATCATATGGTCAATTTCTTCATGAACTTAGGCTGCACAGACAGGGATCATGAATACAACTCACAAGATGTGTTCCTTGGAGACTTGGTAATGTTTGCAATGTGCAACAGAAGGTGGCCTAGAAAAGGCTCCTAAGATCAGACATGTTGCTTAACAGCCCATGGCTCTCTTCCTGACGGAATTTCTAATTTCTATTTTGCTGCAAATATTAGACTTTCCTCCAGGAAATGTAAAGCCTGGGTCAGGTATGTCCTCAATCTCCTGTCTTAATTGGTTTGTTCTCATGTACAGGTGAGGAGGGACCTTTGTGAGGGATTAAGGCTTATCCCATGATTTCTGGCAAAGCAGCCGTAGATGGAAAATGTTTAATCGTCACTGGCAGGAGTATCTCCTTTGTCAGCTTCATCCACTCTCCTATGTTTTGTGGGAATGGTAAACATAATTTTGTTGAGCAATGCAAACACTTGCTTCCTAAGGCCTGTGTTCTGAGAATGTGCTTGAGAAAATCTAAATACTACAACTTCATTTTTGAGTTTTTAATTATATCACAACTAAAAATGCCCTTTGGGGAGTCTGGTACATTTTCAGGATGGGAAAACAGAGGCCTACAAGAAGAAATAAGTGGCTTGAGGTCACACAGCCAAGTGTTAGCAGATCCAGAATGAGAATCCAGCTTGGGAAACCCCTGTGTCCTTCATCTAATCAGAGCTTGCTCTTAGACACTGAATTGTGTATGTAAGACTTAGGATTCAGAAGCCTCTCAGTTTTTGTTTGCTTATTTGGTTTTGTTTTATGTATGTATGTATGTATATATGTATTATGTATGTATGTATCACTGATGCACACTCTTATGAAGGGAACTCACATGTATGTATATATGTATTACTGATATTCTTATGAAGGTTTCAGATGAAAAACACTGTGGTTACTATATTCACCCATATTATCAAGTCCCCACGATACACCATTGACGTCACTGTCCGTCAGCATAGTAAGATGCCACAGTCAATACTTGTCTTCTCTGTGCTACAATATCTTCCCAGTGACCCCCCACAACCCATGTGTACTAATCATAATACCCCTCAATCCCCTTCTCCCTCTCTCCTTCCCCACACTCCCCCACCCCTCCCCTTTGGTAACTGCTAGTCCCTTCTTGGAGTCTGTGAGTCTGCTGCTGTTTTGTTCCTTCAGTTTTGCTTCGTTGTTATATTCCACAAATGAGGGAAATCATTTGGTACTTCTCCTTCTCCACCTGGCTTATTTCACTGAGCATAATACCCTCTAGCTCCATCCATGTTGTTGCAAATGGTATTGTTTTCTTCTTATAGCTGAATAATATTCCATTGTGTATATATATCACATCTTCTTTATCCATTCATCTACTGATGGACACTTGGGTTGCTTCCATGTCTTGGCTATTATAAATAGTGCTGCAATAAACATAGGGGTGCATTGTCTTTTTGAATCTGAGATCTTGTTTTCTTTGGATAAATCCTAGGAGTGGAATTCCTGGGTCAAATGGTATTTCTATTTTTAGTTTTTTGAGGGACCTCCATATTGCTTTCCATAATGTTTGAGCTAATTTACATTCCCACTAGCAGTTTAGAAGGGTTCCCCTTTCTCCACATCCTCGCCAGCATTTGTTGTTCCTTGTCTTTTCAATGTTGGCCATCCTAACTGGTGTGAGGTGATATTCATTGTAGCTTTAATTTGCATTTCCCTGATAATTAGCCATGTGGAGCATTTTTTCATGTGCCTGTTGGCCATCTGAATTTCTGTCTTTGGAGAAGTGTCTGTTCATATCCTCTGCCCATTTTTTAATTCAGTTATTTGCTTTTTGGGTGTTGAGGCATGTGAGTTCTTTATATATTTTGGATGTAAACCCCTTGTCAGATATGTTGTTTACAAATATATTCTGCCATACTGCAGGATGCCTTTTTGTTCTACTGATGGTGTCCTTTTTTTGTACAGCTTTTTAGTTTGATGTAGTCCCATTTGTTAATTTTTGCTTTTGTTTCCCTTGCCTGAAGAGATGTATTCAGGAAAAAGTTGCTCATGTTTATATTCAAGAGATTTTTACCTATGTTTTCTTCTAAGGGTTTTATGGTTTCATGACTTACATTCAGATCTTTGATCCATTTTGAGTTTACTTTTGTGTATGGGGTTAGACAATAATCCAGTTTCATTCTCTTACACGTAGCTGTCCAGTTTTGCCAACACCAGTTGTTGAAGAGGCTGTCATTTCCCCACTGTATATCCATGGCTCCTTTATTGTATATTAATTGACCATATATGCTTGAGTTTATATCTGGGCTCTCCAGTCTGTTCCATTGGTCTATGGGTCTGTTCTTGTGCCAGTACCAAATTATCTTGATTACTGTGGCTTTGTAGTAGAGCTTGAAGTTGAAGAGCGTAATCCCCCCAGCTTTATTCTTCCTTCTCAGGATTGTTTTGGTTTTGGCTATTCAGGGTCTTTTGTGGTTCCATACGAATTTTAGAACTACTTGCTCTAGTTCATTGAAGAATGCTATTGGTATTTTAATAGGGATTGCATTGAATCTGTAGATTGCTTTAGGCAGGATGGCCATTTTGACAATATTAATTCTTCCTATCCATGAGCATGGGACATATTTCCATTTATTGGTGTCTTCTTTGATTTCTCTTATTCCTAGGTATTTTATTCTCTTTGATGCAATTGTGAATGGAATTGTTTTCCTGATTTCTCTTTCTGCTAGTTCATCATTAGTATATAGGAAAGCAACAGATTTCTGTGTATTAATTTTGTATCCTGCAACTTTGCTGAATTCAGCTATTAGTTCTAGTAGTTTTGGGGTGAATTCTTTAGGGTTTTTACATACAATATCATGTCATCTGCAAACAATGACAGTTTAACTTCTTCTTTACCAATCTGGATGCCTTTCATTTTTTTTATGTTGTCTGATTGGCATGGCTAGGACGTCCAGTACTATGTTGAATAAAAGTAGGGAGAATGGGTATCCTTGTCTTGTTCCCCATCTTAAAGGAAAAGCTTTCAGCTTCTTGCAGCTCCTCTGTTTTTAACTTAAATGAAAGCCTTTAAATTCCAAAAGAGGTCTCTCTTCCTTATCAGAATCATTAGATAAAATTCTGAGCTACAAAAGCAAAGCCACATGGATGGCCCAGAGAAAGTGAAGCAGTCACTGTCAGCAGTTACCTGCCCACCCTCACCTAGTGTCATGCTCTCATTTTTATTTGATCACCAGAATATCTGTTGTACCTTCCATATATGGGTGCTTCATTAGGAGCAGGGGCCTGGATCTCAGGGTGCTCCTGGTTATCTCTGTTCTTGCTGAAACAAATTTGATCCAAAAGTTGCTAAGTTCTCCCATCAGATTCAGACTGTGTTGTGTTTCCTCTGTAAATGTTAGAGTTAATGGCTACATGAGTTGAAAAGAAGGCAGTGGCTTATCAGAGCTTCACATCACACCCTTTCACTAGTAATGGGCTCCATTTGTACACTGTAGTGTGGTGAATAAAAATATTGGTGGTGGAATTGAACCTTCCAGGTTAATCTCTGGATAGTCAATGAACAGATGTGAGCCCTTGGCAAGTTACTTTACTTCTTTACTCAGTTTCATCATCCATGAAACTGGGATTAAAAAGAAATAGAACATAGCCCATACAGTTATTATAAAGATTAAGAGTTAATGGGTGGAAGCTCTTGGAACAATGCCTCACATATACAAATACTCTGTGAAGGGTATCTTCTTTAATCCTTTTATGAAATAAGAGACCAAATGATAAGGTCCATGTGAGCACAATGTGGAGAAATCTCTGGTTCATGACTGGTCTGTTTCTGTAACTTACACAAACCTAGACATTCCCAGCTCCACCTGCTGGGACTCTCATCATTATTAATGGCATTTCTACTTGTAGATATGGGACATTTCAACTTAAAACTTTTTACATGGGAGCTACAAAGTGTTTGGAAAATAAATTAATCCAGGCCTTAAGAACAGCGAGTGACCTTTCTATTTTAAAATAACTATATCAAAAATAATAGGGATTAAGTTTTTTTTGTTGCTATATTCCCAACCCTAGGCTAGTATCTGACATTAAGAATTTGTTGAATGAATGAATGTTTAATGGTATAATACCAGTTAAGCTAATACAAGTTTCTGTATTTCACTAGATTTAAATTATTTTCATTGCTGATTATTTTTGGTGGGCTTTTAATACTACTGGATTTTAAATTTGAGGTTTTTAAATTAGCTTATTTTTTAAACTCTGACTCAAATTTTTCTTCACTCAATTTCTTCATACCATTATATATACATACATCATGTCGCTCATCTAAAATATATATCAAGAACATTTAAAGGCTAATGTCCAAGTGTAGGAAAAGAAAAGCAAAGGAAAAAAAGGGCTGTGGAGTATTTTTGAATGTTATTAATGATAATAGTGTACACCATTGCCATAAAATACCAAAATCTCAAGAATTACTTCCATAGTGTGATTATGCTTTCAGGCACCTCGGTGGAATGATGAACTATAGCTCTTATCAGGCAAAGACGTGGTGCACAGTGCCTGCTCCATCTTGCCAAGGAAACAACCACTGCAGCCTCAAGGGTTATTATGGTCCATGGATTCTTGATGGTCCTTCACTTTTCCCAAAATGAAATATTTAATACCATTAAGCCTTATTGAAAATGCTTTGTGCAGAATCCCTTCCTCCAGCGGCCAAGCAGAAGAAAAAGGGAGGGTGATCATCACATCCCACCTCCTTGCTCAACCCAATTTTGGCCAACCCAGCAGTCATGGAGGGGAACTTAGGGGCCTTAAGAGAAACATAGAGAACTGGGAATATTCTATCTTCTCTCATGTGAGTAAATCCATAGAGAAAAGCATCTATTCCATAGATGCTGGGATAAGAGACATTGCACTCATTCACTCAACATATGTGGAGGGAAGGTACCAGTACTCACATTGTCACTTTGCTCACAGTGTAGGTCAGGGTACTCAAAGCCCTTTGCCTGCCTGCCAGCTATCAGTGAACCAATAAAATCAACCACAAGTGCAGGTACAGCCTTGGCCTTACATTGTTCTATGGAGAGTTTATTTGCTTCAATTTTTTAGTTAACAAACTCATCAGGGAGAAGAAAGTCTCATTCTTATACGAAAAGAGCCATCTGAATAGGATGGAGTGTATCGCATTGCAGGGAGCACAGGCAAAGGTGAAGGTAGGGTCAAAGGGCTGAGCTAATGCGAGGAAAGGACAACTTTAACAAGAGCTTTCATCAGCCTACGTTAGGATGAAGGCAGAGCATCTACAAGCCAAGGATCACCAAAGACTGCCAGCAAAGCACCAGAATCTAGGAGACAGGGATGAAACAAATTCTCCTTCCAACTGTTAGAAGGAACCAACCTCAATGACTTCTAGATCTCAGACTTTTAGCTTCCAAAACTGCGAGACAATGAAGTTCTGTTGTAGTAAGGTTTATATGCAACTTTTGGTACTTTGTATGGCAGCCCTAGGAAACTAATACAGAAGGAAAACTAAAATATCAGTGAATGGGTCTTCTCTTTCTTATTTTCCAGAATAGAAAGTTTAGGAAAGGAAGAGCTGAATTATCTGTTCCCATCATATGCAAGCAAGAAGCAGTAACAAGAATTTTATAGGAAGTTTGGAAACCAATCTTCTGAGAGCTGTAATGCTTGCAATTTCTTAAGCAATATTTTTTTCCCCTCTTAAACTCAATCCAGCCAAGCAGCCTCCAGCTTTAGTTAAAAATTAATTTTACAGCTCACATACAGCCCATGTAATCAACTTATTCAGGAATTTTTAGCCAGTTGGTCAAAAGTGTGGGTGACCTAGGAGCCCCTCAACTTGTGGCTGGCATCTGAAGTGGGAGCAGTCTTGTTAGGGACACTACCCTTACCACATGGCATCTGCACTGACTCTGGTTAGTTGGCATCAGAACTGCACAGCAGTATTGCAGCACCTATCAGTTGCTTGGTACACTACAGACACTCATTAAGTTAGTTATCAGATTTTCTTTTTTTTTGCCAAGGAAATCAAACTGTATTTTGATTTGAAACATACCATATCCTTTTTGGGTATCTTCAGTAATTGGAAGATGTTGTCTGCATTTGTCACCCTGATCAGTTGCAGCTTCCCTCACCTTCATATCCATGTAAGACCACAGGGGACAGGATCCAAGGTACAGGGTGTAAACAGAGCCATACTCTTTGGCCAGCTGGAAAGAGATGCAAGTGGTTGCATAAGTGCTACTGTGAAATCTCTCCATTGGAGGCATGGGCAGAAATTAAGTAATAATTTACATGTGGCTTAGCCTTTGCTCCATCAATTCCATTTTAGGAATTGACCTGGGGTATAGTCATGGATTTATTCTTTCTTTCATACACAACCACTGAGCAATTATTTACTAAGTGCCTTTACTATGACAGACCCTGTGCACAGCCCAGGATCCCTCAGGGAACCTAGAGTCTAGTGAAAGTGACAGGTAGTAAACAGCCAAACAAACTACATTTGCAATACAGGTTGAGCATAATTCCATGACAGTGATAAAGAGTGCACTGTGCTGGATGATGGGGGAACTTAATAAAACAGAGAGGTCAGGAATCTATGGGGAGGTAACACTTAGGGTAAAACTACAGATGAGGAAGAAGCAGCCAGGATCAGGGCTTGGAGAACAGCTCAGTAAGCAGGTATAAAAAAGGATGAAATCTATGTATTTATGATAGCACTGTTCCAAGAGGGAAAATAGAGTACTAAAACAACTAGCAATTGGGGGTTGGCTTTCTAACTTATCCTACATCCAGAGCATTTCAGAGCAGCCTTTTGAAATTAGTTATAGGGGACTATATAATGGAATGGGAACATGTTTGAGTTCTAAATAAATGGCTGCAAAATAAAATTACATTAAAAAATCCACTTGTATGTTGTAATCTCCTATTTTTTATTTATAATAATTATTTCTAAGAGATCAAACTTACTGAACTTGCCACCTATTTTTTTTTCTTTCTGCCTTTTTCTCTTCTACTTGGACTTAAACAGAGGAGAATTTTGTCACTTTGTATCTTTTCTCTGACCCAGAAAAGAACTTGCTTCCTTTGTCCCTCTGAATGAGAGTGTCTCTTTTGGGGTACAAACTGCCAGCTCTTCTCTCTACCTCACCCTCAGCTGATGTCTTTGCTCTTTATTTCACAGAGATGATAGAAATAATCAGAAAAGGGTTTTTTTTAAGCTTTTACTATAGCATTTAATCATTTACCTGAATCTGTGTCAGTTTACATGGTTTTCTGTTAATATAAATGACATACCATGCACCTAAGAAAAAGGCCCAATTCCCCAAGTTGTGCACTATATTCTTCCCTTTTGGCAATTGTGACATGACATTTCATTTTATAGCAAACTGGACCAACACCACAGCATTTCTCCTGCCCCTCAGCCTCTGGCAACCAATATTCTATTCTCTATTTCTACAAGTTTGACTAATTTAGGTCCCTTGTGAGATCATGCAATATTTGTCCTTCTGTGTCTGGCTTATATCACTTATTAGGATAATGTCCTCCAGAGCCATCCATGTTGTTGTAAAGGAAAGGAGTTTCTTTTTTAAGGCTAAATAATATTCCTGTGGGTGTGTGTATATGTGTATCACAATTTCTTTATCCACCTTTCAATGGATATTTAGGTGGTTCTAGAGAATACATTCTTGCACAATGAACTCATGGAGATAATATCTTTTCCCTGAAAAGTATTTCCAAAGGAATGAATTTTAGTCAGGGTGCCAGAGCTGAACTGTGCCAAAGCAAGATGCTGCAGAGGGAGTGGAGATCACTTTTTAGAAGGAGGATCACAAAATATCACAACGATCCCACAGATCATTCAGTATAAAACAGTAGTAATAATAATAAAAAAGGAGATTTATTACATTTTTATATTTGCTGGGCTTGTCTTTTGGTATTATATGCTGAGGGTATTGGAAGCCTTTAATTAAAATACGTTCTTATCTCAGAATTTTCTCATTCACTAGAATTCAACCTATAGCTCAAATTAGATTGATACACCTTACTACCTACCCTAAAGTGATGCAGTCCAAAAAGAAAGAGGATATCTGTCTTGTAATACAGAAACAGACACACAAAACTAAAAGATTGGCAATGACCTGAAGAGCTGGAAGATGGTTACTCACTTGGAGATGGCTGGACCCAGAATGAAGTCCCCTTACCTTGGCGAGAGATGCAGGAACGTCCTTGAGATTTAGCTGCATCATATTTCCATTGTTGGCAGGGGAGTTGGGCCAGTGGGGAGCCTGCTGCCTTTGTCACTTTTCTTCTGCACAAGAAAGAAAACCAGGCAAGTGACACTAATCATAAGAGCAAGAGTAGTGATTCCCAGCAGCTCCATCTCAGCTGCATCAGGGCAGGAACTGTCCAGATTGCTTATTAGCAAAGTCTTGTGCAGGGGGTGTGACCTGCCAGCCAAAGGTTGGGCTGAGTTCTTGGACTTGGGGAAAAAACTAGAATTGGTTTGGCTTATGTACTTTGCTGTGGTTTGGAATTAAGAAAGATTCTTATCTTTCCCAACTCTCATTCACAAAATCTGCAACTTTTGATTTTCTAAGCATTTCTATTATATGTACTTTTCCCTTTTAGTGCTAATGATTCATTAAATATAAAGATGCATTTTATTTTTTATAACTTTCTGAAACTGTTCAAATAATTAAGTTCACAAATTTGAAAAAAGAAAACCATAAATCATATATCCTGAGATCTGATTTGGAAAAACATAGCTGCCAGAATAGTCCTCCTCAAACATTATTTTTATCATGTTCCTCATACAGTTTACAATTTACAGTTTACTGTGTCCATGGATAAACAAAACGTAGTATACACACAACAGAAATTAGTCACTTTTAAAAAAAGAATGAGATTTTAATATTTGCTATAACATAAATGAACCTTGAAAACATGCTAAGTGAAATTAGCCAGACACAAAAGTGCAGATATCATATGAATCCACTTATATGTGGTACTAGAGTAGTCAAACTCACAGACATGGAAAGTAGAGTAGAGGTTACCAGGGGGAGAAAAGAGGGAGTTAATATTTCATAAGCACAGAGTTTCTGTTTGGGATGTTGAAAAAGTTCTGGAAATGGATAATGGTGATGATTGCACAAAACTGTAAATGTACTTAATGTACTTAATGCCACTAAATTGTACATCATAAATGGTTAAAATGGAACTTTTATGTACATTTTACCACAATAAGGAAAATGTTTACTAAGTTGGTATTTGAAATATTGTCTTGCAAATGGGTTTCAGCCCTGAGCAAATTCACTATGGATTCAGTGAGACCAAAGAATGACAATGGAACGTTCTTGGGGTAAAAGGGTTTATCACCCAGCTTTGTTCTGGGCAGAGCTCTTTATATAGTGACTCAGTCAATAATAGCTTATTGTCTATGGGTGTGGAAGCAGTAGCCTAGCAGTAAGCCAGTTACATAATCAAGTAGTTTAGGTTCAGGTGAGCAACTTCTATTTTCCCCACACTCCATCCCTCCAGGATTCTCACCTCACAATCTACATGCTCTCAATCTCCCACAATCGTCCCTGTGCAAGGAAGCTGAAGCACTGTAACCAGATTTCACAACAGCAACAGAGGAGAACAACAACATAGAGATAATAAAAAAAATTATCACATAACAAAGTTTTGATGCAGGTATGCAAATAAAGTGAAGATTTCTATGGCCAGGATTCTTACTTGGCTCTGGTCGGCTAGCTCACTACACACATGTGGGCAATACATTGTTATTGACTCTACATAATGAGCTTTGCCTAGTGTTGTGAGTGGAGGCAGAGGCAGAGACAAAGGAGGATTACAGACCTGCAAACTGTTGGATGCAGATGTAATTCTAGTGCTCAACCTATCACAGGGAGAACAAGCTGGGTAATAAACCGTTTCACCCCAAGAACGTTCCATTGTTATTCCTCGTCTCATTGAATTCATAGTGAACTTGCCCAGGGCTGAAAGCCATTGGTAAGACAATTGGCAACATTGGCAGGATTCACTGTTGACCAAGGGAAAAGACAGGCTGCCCTTATGAGAGGGGTGCTTCAGTGGGCTGCTCCTATGAATGGGGAGACAGTCGACTGTTCCTCAATGGGTATGTGGTCTGAGGTGGCTTGCCTTCTAGAGGCTGGGCCCCGCCCCAGGACTAGAGGCAGGTGGAGGTGATACCTGAGGCAGTAGGGGTGGCCCTTTGAGAAACAAGAGTGCCTGGGAGGCAGCAGGGACAGTGGGTTGGCTCACTACACACGTGTGGGCAATATGTTGTTATTGACTCTATGTAAAGAGCTCTGCCCAGTGCTCTGGGTGGAGGCAGAGACGAAGGAGATGTTGGATACAGATGTAATTCTAGTGCTTGACCTATTTCTGTGAGAACAAGCTGGGTAATAAACCCTTTCACCCCAAGAATGTTCCATAGTCACTCCTCAGTCTCACTGAATCCATAGTGAACTTGCCCGAGGCTGAAACCCACTGACAAGACAAGGTAAAAAAAATTATAATTAATCCTTAAGCCTGAGGAGGTTACTTCAGCTATATTCAAAACCAGTTCTACTCAGATGAGTTCATGACTCACACTTAGTGGTACTGATAGGGAGCTCCATGCACCCCAGCAAGTAGTAGTTTTTTGCTAGGGTGTGTACCCAATCCTCAAAGATCTTAAGGGTGGTAAGACACATGTTTTAACGACACAAACATAGGAAAATCTTGTCCATCAGGTAGGATGCATGGAAGAGAGTAGTCCTGTGATAGGACTGCGGCAGGAAGGGGGTCCTGTCCAGGTCTAGTATACCATACCTTTTCCTCTCCCTATGGGGGTTACTGAGGGGTCTATATATAGTGCTACTGGAGGTGCATGCACTGGACATAATGATAAAATGAAATTCCCCAGTAAGATGCTCCTACCTTCTGGCCATTTAGGATATACTACTGCGATCTTAGGGGGCCACTCTGCTGTTACTCCAGGAATACACAGGAGGCCAGCTTCCAGGCCTTGTCCCCAAGGTGCCAGGAGGGCCAGCTGGTCCATGTGTCAAAATGTCCAAGGCCACATCCACTCAATGGAGTCTCCAGGATTTAGTGCAGTTGGCAGCAAGATAATATGCTGGTGATGAAACCTGCTTCAACGATTCCTCTTTGGTTTGTACTTGTAGTTGTATAGGGAAGGCAGCAATATGCATTAGCATGTCTACAGGGCTCAGGGCTCCCTTTCAGGGTTACTTGTTCAAATGCCATAGCACAGTCCATAAGCAGACTGACATCCCCGCAGACTATTGGTATCTGACTTTAGTCCAGATTTTAACAAGCCATTGTGCCTCTCTTATCATGCCTGCTGCGGTAGGATTGTACGGCACATGAAACTTCCATTTGATTCTCAACTGTCGCACCCATTCTACAGGGCACATCCAGTAAAGTGGGTACCTTGATCACTCTTAATTATCTGTGGCCAGCCATAGGCTGCAAAGACACTCTGCAGGCCTCTTTTGGTCATCCATTGGTCTAAACAACATGTAGGAAAAGCAACCAGAAGTCCAGTAGCTGTGTCCACACAAGTCATGGAATATTGGTACCCTTCTGACACAGGCAGAGGCCCGATACAGTCTATCTGCCACCTACCGAAGATTCTCAGCCCCTTAGCTATTGTCCCATGATGCTGTGGAACTTGGTCTAAGTCCTTTTTAGAGCATATGATCCACTCCTACCGGGCTCTGCTGACTTCTTCAAAGGTCAAAGGCAAGCCCTACACACAGGCTACTGCCCACATTGTCTTTTGCCCTGCATGCAACAAATGCTGATGTAACCATTGGGCCACATCAAAGCCAAGCTTTCCTTCTAGCCAATGTATCTGGGCCAATTCATCTGCTTCATCATTTCCTGGGGATGCCAGAAGCAAATGACCTGTCATATGATATACTGTAACTGTTTTAGTCTGACCACAGGCCCATAAGTCTTGCCGCTGTTCTTGCCCCCAAAGGAGTCAGTGACCAACCAACCACTTGGCATGGTACCATGTCGGTAGCCAAAAGGATCAAGCCTTGACAGACAGCCCAGCTGTCAGTGTAGACAACTATCGGGGAGGGCTCCTAGGTGATCACAGGCCACACTGCCCACAACTCTGCCCACTGACTGCTCTTCCCTTCACCGTCTTCCATCTGTATTGTCTCAGTCTTAGGATGGAAAGCTATGGCCCTCCATTTTGGGGGCTGCCCAAGGCTGATGCCATCTGTGTACTAAGCATCTTTGGGTATAGGGGCTCTTCCCTCCCAATAGGGACTCTCTGCTACTAATGGCTCTAAAGTAAATTCTTTCTGCCTTTCACCAGTGTATATCACTGGCCCCAATAGGCATTGGGAGTTCTTCACTCAAGGAGCTAGTAGAGAGGGCACTATGCTGCTGTAGGTGCACACCTCACTCGGCCAGTGTAGGTGTCTGTGCCACAACACTCCGTGGCTTTTGGGTCCAGTCTCATACCCACTCCATGAAGGGATAGGTGGTTATTACCTTTATTGAAGCCATTCCAGTAATGGGTTCTGTAGCCAGCAAGGCATGACACACGGTAGCCAATTGTTTCTCTATTAAGGTGTATTGTACCTCTGCTTCTTTCTAGAGTTGCAACCAGAATCCAAGTTTGGTGAGTTTGTTCAAGGCATTGCCAGAGGCCCATCCATAACCGTCTTTAGCTACATGAACATCCAACTCACAGACCTTATGGATCTATCACACTCAAGGCCTACACGGCCTTGACTACTCGTTTTACTGTAGTAAAGGCAGATGCATATGTCTCATCCCAGTCCCACCTGACACGCTTTCATACCAAACAGTATAAGGGCTTCAGAATTTGTGCCAAGTGCAGGATGAAACACTCTCCAGTAGCCTAAAAGACCCCAAAAACTCCTGCAACAGTGCCACAGTTGTAGGGGTAGGAAAGGCCTGGACTTTATCTATGGCTGCTTCTGGTATAACTTTAGTCTTACCTGATCAGAGATGATCCCAAGAATTTGACTGACAAACAGGTCCCTGAACTTTGGTGCTGTTCCCAGGTCATCATTTCTCCTGTAGGTGTTACAGCAGTCTAGGAGCTGCACCTTCTAGATCTGAAAGAGAATCAGACATGAGCATGATATCATCAATATAATGGTAAAGCCACACTGTTGGTAGTTCCTTCCATGCTGACAAGTTCCAGGCTACAAGTCTGACAAATGGCGGGACTGTGAGGTATCCCTTTGGAAGGACAGTGAAAGTCCATTGTCATCCTTTCCACATGAAGGTAAACTGTTCCTGATTTTCCTGCCCTATGTCAGTAGAAAAGAAGGCATCAGTAAGATCTACAACATAATGGTATGCTTTCA